AAAAGTGTAAGAATAAGAAACAAGAAGCATGAATATATCGTGCTGAATGATGCACTATGGATGCGTGCATATGGATTAGAACAGATTAACCAGAGTTAACACAGCTGTGCAGATATTAACTCCTTGGAGATGCCTGTGGACGCTCGAACCACTTCGCGACGTGTGGTTGAACGTTAAATATTTCTCATTTTTTATTATTCACTTTTTCGCAAGAAAAGCTGATTTGTCTTAATACCACGTATTTAGATACTCTCATCGACAACCAAGCTGCACTATGAAAATTATTTCCATCTCCAAAGAGTTAAAAACACTTAAAGAATATCAATATGTACAAGTAGTGCATCCACAAAAATATCTAATTTACCGACTAAATTTAACCCAGCCTTAACATTTACTATACATGACACGGTATAAGTAATATAATATACAGGGTGACGAAAAATGGACCCTTAAAACCCATTTTTTAAATCACCCTGTATGTATATCTCCGAGTATCGTGCCTTTAACCCTTTGCGATCGGCACATTTCTCTGGTTGGGACTATCAGCTAGTCGGAGCAAATTTAGATTTTTAAAGTTATTTTTGCATAGTTGATTTATTATATATATAAGGATATTGAAAAACAGAATATTTTGAAACTGATACATTTTGTTTAATACATACTAGTTATAGTGCATAAAAATAAAACGTTTTAATTTCTGTAATTTTCCAAAGTATGATACTTGACAAAACAATGACCATGCCGCCATAGCGGTGACACCGATTTCTAGAACAAAATTGAAATGCCGCCACTATGGCGGCACCGATCGCAAAGGGTTAATGAAACATATACAGAATGGACCACTCAAATGGTACACCGGAGTAACTCCTAAACTACGCATTGGTTACAAAATTGTTTCGCACGATTTCGAGAGGAGTACCACGTAATATATGTACAGTAGTGCACACATAAGCGTCCGCAGGCGGGACGGTTAAGTGGGGAGGTGACTTGTGCGAATTTAACTAAACAAAAGAGAGGAGATGTGCCTGAGTGGGATACCGATGTATCAAGTGTTCGCAATCAGAAGTCGATATCGGCTTACTTTGCTTCACACGGCACGCTCCAACTCCACTCGGAACTCTCATTTCCAAGAATTGTTGGGGATAGCGACGGAAGCTTAAGTGTGCAAAAATGCGGACGCTTATGTGTGCACTACTGTACTTTCTCTGAATGTCAATCTCATTTTTTTTTTTAACGACACAATTCGAAAGAATGTTAATTTCTAAATTAAAAAGGACAGTAGAACGCCGTATAACGCGATCAAAGAAAAAAAAAGATTCTGAATTTGTAATTTTGGGTTAATTAAGTTGGACCCAAAAAGCGGTGTCAATGGACCTTAATTTGCATTATATTTCCTGCGTTACAGGAGGTCCTACTGTATCAACAATTACTAATGTAAACGCAACAGTTAATCAAATATTTCGCTTCGTCCATCAAACTGTCGAAAGATTCGACTACTTTATTTTCAACTTGAAGTTACACGTAAAAATCCTCCAACAAAGGAAGTATTTACACGCGGTTGCGTAACGCGCTCCTCTCGAAATTATGCAACTTTCGTAACGAATGCATAGTTCAGGAGTTGCTCAGGTGTACGAGTTAAGTGGCCCACCCTGTATGTTCCCGTATCGTAATTATCCTCGTTGTTTGTGATCGAACAAGTTTCTAACGGAAGAGTATCGCAGGTACATGTATAAGATAGGTCGACGACGAGTTGCGAGTGTTATAAAATAATCTATTTCGCGAGTAAACGTGTCACGGTCAACGTGACAGTTTCACTTTCTACGCTTTCGAGGGTGTTACACACGTCGCAAATTTTCCACCACGGCTATTTAGAAGCCATTTCTCTATGTAAATTCGCGGGCAACCAGTCGAGTAGGATGAAACTCTTCAGGTATTTTTCGTGGTTCGCCTTTTAACGCTCGACTCTCTCTTTTTCGTTTCATTCATGAGAATTTACTCGTCTCGATTTTACATACGATTACGTACAGTGTGTTAGCCTAACTGTAACTAGAATTTTGCAATTTTTGTCCTGGAGAACGTAATCGCCAATTTTCTTTTCCTTCGTTCGAATTATGAATGAAATACATTACCGTTGAAGCGGGGAAAAAGGAAACGAAACTAAAATTGTGATTTCTCCTGAATTATGATTATTAATCATTTTTTTCCTTCGTTCGAATTATGAATGAAATATATTACCGTTGAAGCGAAGGGAAAAGAAACGAAACTAAAATCATGGTTTTTTTATTTAATTATAATTATTAATAATTTGTTGTTTTTTTTTTAATTATTGTCTTTGATGGCGATAGAGAAATTTGACTCGTTGGTTCCAGTGAAATTTGTGGGTAAGTGTAGGACTAAGAAACGTTAGATCTACGCTAAATTCTTTGCACAGGCAATCGATACACAATATATGTAATACCGTATGATAAAGATCAGGCTATGCAAATACACTTCCATTAAACGAAGTAGCGCAACGCAAGTTCAAGCCCGGCAAGTGTATTATAGCTCGCTTAATTTTTTCTTCGATTTTATATGAAAAGGGGACTTTTTAAACTTGTTTTACGTTTATACTTTCCGTTGCGTATTTCAAATATATATCATTTTTATGAATACTTTCAAAATTTTCACGTACTCCTATCTATTGTACTTATCGATGTTAGATTAAACTAAAATCATGCAAATTTCCATTTAATAATTTTCAGATCGCGATGCTTTTCGATAACACTTAACCCTTTGCACTCCACTGACGCCATTATGGTGACCATAATACTATTAAAAGATCATTTCTGCAGATAAAATACAAAATTTATCCTTTTTTTTTTCTCTCAAAAGAAAATTTAATTTTCCAAAATTTCACAACAAAAGTATGTCAAAATTGCTGATCGAACGTATCAAAAACAGCTCAGAAAGCAAAAAGCTAAAAATGAATTTGTTTCTCAAAAGAGAACACGATTTTCCAAAATTTCACAACAAAAGTGTGTCAAAATTGCTGATCGAACGTATCAAACACAGCTCGAAGAGCAAAGGGCTAAAAAACTGTCGCGTTTGCGAGATCGATTATGTCATACGCAACAACCTAACGCAACGCAGTCTAGGGTGTACTATTGAACTGCAACGTTGCCCCGCAATAAGACAGAAAATTCACGAGATAGAGTAGAGCCGGTCTACAAGGATCATGAGTCATCCTCACCTATGGTCCACGAGGCCAGAACTGGGATTTCTACTGTGACATCTGATGACGGTGTCGTGAGTCAGTCTGCTACCGGTTGCCTGCAGTGGGTCTGTGATTTCGTCAGTTCCCGTCGCCGTACTCTCCGCGTACAGTCCCGTCATGGCATACATGCTCTCGTTCCTTCGATGACCGGCATGGTAATTGCTGCCAGACTCGGACCTGGAAACGCACCGGAAGGTCAGCGCGCAATTTGGAAGTGATCCATTAAAGTTCCTCTCACCCCCTTTCACCCCGATAACCAGCCCGCCAGCTTGGTCATTCGACACACACTCGCGCGCGCGTTTCAAATTAAGCGTCCAAGTTCGATGTTGCTCCGTGGAAACACGGAGGAATTGTTTTCGATTTGGTTTATCGACCGGTTGGGCTACATATGCTATTTATGTTAGGAGCTTTTTCGTTGGTGTAACGAAGAGTGGATGTAGATGCGATTGGTAGATGGAATTTTTGTTTCGTGATTTAATCATGGAGGACGCATGTCGAGTGAAATATGAGCCAATGATGAAATCTCTTTTGTTCGCAAGTGAAACTATGGTTTTTCAATTTATTGGGGATTATATTGTTTGGAATTATGGAAATATGTTTCCATATGTTAGTAACAAACGTAATATAAGGAGAGGAGAGAAGGGATATTGTAGAGGTGTTTAAGAGCTGGGTCAGTAATGACCCGGCTACCGTTTTTTGAAGGTTGAGAAATTAGTGTAGAATGTTAGGTTAGGTTTCATGATAGTTGTGAAAGTGGGCAAATGTTTGCAGGTGGAAATGGTGGTAGGCGTGAGATGCAAGGAATTTTGAGGTTAGGTTTGCGCATGGAAACTGTTACCGATAAATGGAGATATTTTCAGAGAAGAAACTATTGTTTTCTTCTCTGGATGTGACTAACGTTAAAGGAAGAAGAAAGATTGTTACGTTTTAAGGTATATCTTGATGAAAATATAAAAAAGGTTAGGTTAGATTTACGAATGGAAACTGTTATCGATGAATGGAGATATTTTCAGAAAAGAAGAAACTATGTTTTTTTTTTTGGAATGTGATTAATTTGAAAGAAAGAAGGAAGATTGCTAGGTTCTAAGGTACACATTTATGAAAATATAAAAAAGATAGGTTGTTAGTATTACCAACAAGTAGTTACCTTATAATCCACCGTACTTCAGACATGAATGAATCTCTTTACAAATTACACGCGTAATCTTCTCCGAGCATCTATTTTCGTTCGATTCGCGATGACTGATTCGATTGGCGGACCCTGAAGTCACCATTGAGATTCTCGTGGATCATTAGCATACGACGAGAGTATTAAGGTTTCCAGAATTTTCCATAGTTAAAAGTGAAGAGCTTCGGAATCTGGGTACAGCGAAGGTCAATTAGACCTTTCTAACTCGTCCATTTTCTATGAGCTTAAACTTTAATTCGCGAACAGATAGCGAGGTAAAAGAGTGACGATAAAAGAAAATATTAATTTTCAAAGGCAGAAATTTCTACAGAAGAAAGACAAAAAGAATTGACTAAACATTTAGTAAAAAAAAGTACTGTAACTCATATCTTTTTTATGTTTAATCATTTAGAAAATAGGCTACTCGGTATATTTTACATAAATTTTAACAGAAGTTGCCAATTTTCAAAGGAAACTTTGTACCTAAATTTTTCTTCAATTTTCCCGACACTTTATAGACGACAAAAATTTATTTCTCGTATCTTGCACATTGTGTCGCAAAGTAATTTCATACGCCACAAGAATTCTCAACAATTTCCCAAACATTTCTCGCAATATTATCGTTGGACATAATAAAGCAGGGATGCCACGGGACACGAAGTCGGGTTGCATGGTCACAGGCGCAATTTCTCAGTTCCTGTCTTGTTAACGAACGAGAAGGGAAGATGACAAACAGAATCCTGGAAGCCCTTGAACGTTGAACCTGTACTTATCTAAACATTACACGTAGGCCCCTAGTCAAGGTATCATATTACTTTGCAACGTAACAAGAGCCTTCTCCGTGTTATTTGAATTTTTTCTCCCCCATTCTGCTGGAATATCGCAGCAACACTGTGAGCGAAAATTCTACATCCACATATGCAACTTTCCCTGATTTAAATATCAATCCTTCACGCTGCTCAAGGATACACATTCTTGGTTATACCTGCTTATAGTTGGGCATTTCGCGGTTGTTTCGTAGTTTTCATTCAGGAATTTTTGCGATTGAAAAAATTATACTGATATTTAGAATCTTTAATTTTTTTTTCTTGAAATCTTTAAATTTAGAATCCATCGTGAAACTTTTTAAACCGTAATTAAATCGATATTTAGAAATAGTGTTAGGTTTATTTTTTTTTTTCATCGATAAGACTAAGATTCTCCGCGAAATTTTTTGAAACATCTTTGCACCATCGGTATGCACTTCAGAAATTCTTTTTGCTGTTGCACCCATTTTTAGCTTTGCAAAAATACGTCTAGTCGTTAATTTTCAACTCAAAATAGACACTAAAAACATTTAACTAAATGTAATAAACTTTTTTTTTACACGTTAAAATCTCAGCTTTTAGATTACACACGCGTCTTTTATTTTAAAAAACAGCAGAAACGTTCGAAATTACTTATCGGTCAATGCAATATATTCTACAAAATCACTGACACAACTCCGGCAATAGGCAGTCTTAACCCTAAAGACCGCCGCTCTTTCAGCCAGACTAAATACGCTCCGCTCGTCAGTCCAACCATGTCTTAAACATCGAGAGTGTACGAGTGTTCAAGCCTAAGTGTTCCGCAATAATTGCAAAAATTCGCAAGGCGGAAAGCCCGCTTCTCATTCTTCCCGGCAAAGAACAAGAGTGCGGCTGTATATTACTCGTTGGAGGAGAAAAAAAGATGAAGAGGAAGAAGAAGAAAAGGGTTGATAGCGGAGGGTGTGGGTGGGAGAGAAAAGGAGAGCAGAGGTTCTCGACTTCCGGTAACACGGAAAATAGAGAGGAAACGTTTGGTGAAAAGGCGAAAATCACCTTTTGTGGCCGAAACCACCGCCGCTGCTCTCATTCCTCTTGTGGCCACTCTCGGATCGTTTGTGGCCAAAGGCACTTGATATGCTCTCGGCGCGTTTGTGACCGCTCTCCGAGCGTTTGTGGCCGATGAAACCGCCGCCGGACTCGGTGCGTTTGTGAGCGAACATGCTCGAGCTCGAGCCGTTCCTCTTGTGCCCGCTGGTGGACGCCATTTCTTCCTTGCCCGCCTCTTCTTCGCGTCCCTCGACTTCCTTCCTACCAAGATCGCTGAATTACGGCTCTGCCAGCGACATTTTTGGCCGAGTGCTTCCGTTGCCTGAAACCAAAACGCGAATTTCCCTGTTAGCCATTGTCGATTCACTCGCCATTCCGAATCACCAGTTTGTCAACCCATTTTATGGACCAACTTATTCTCCTCACACTTAACTTTCTTTCGACGCTAACACAAACGTGTTCATTTCAAATTTGCATTTCTTCCTTCGTTTTTTTTTTTTTTTTTACTTAATAAGGGGGTATTTGGGGTTAAAGGACGATTTTTTTAGCTGATTTCACGATTTTTTTTCTGGGCAACGAACAGAGTCAGCGTGTTGCTGCTTCGAATATTTCTTTATTCATCTTTCGGGTATTTGGGATTACTAATAGAGACTTGAAACGTTCGCAACGTTCGGAGTTACGAGCCACGAAGTGCGAACGTCCTTATTGATTTTTCTCAAGACTGACGGATTTTCTATAGGCCAGAAAAAAATTGAACCAAGTGTCCCTTCAATCTTTATGCGAATTTAAGAGATTCTGAAAATGTTTCTTAAAAATTACAATTAAAATTATTGATTACGTATCGTCGTTCCTATTAATGCAATAGTAATTTTTACAATAAGAGTGTACATAGTTATTTTTCATTTGGGTAATACTTATGTGGATTCGGTGTATAAATGTACAGAAAATTCTCCACATTATCCTATTGCCATAAAAATTATGTTTCGAAACCGTTGACATCGATTGAAAGAAAGAAGAGCCGAGTGATACGAGCATATTTTCCCATTGATGTAAATGGGTTAACAGATGAATGCTTACTCTTGACGTAAAGGTATTACATTAAGTGCTCCATAAATAAAAAATTCATTACGTATATACTGCAACATTAATTATGTGCAATAGCCAGACACATGTCTCTCTATTCTCCTACATTTATCAATCTTTCAACCACTTTAGACACGCACATTCGCCTCCAACTTGACTATTCTCTTCGAAAACACTTGCATAATACATTATTATAGTACAGAGAACGAATTCTATATAAGTTCTTACAACAAGTGTTTCGTTACACAATGTAGACATAATTTTGCACAATACTTAGCCAGAGCAATTCATCGCATAATCAGAACTATTCAACCGTCAACTAAGTGCAACATTGATACACAGCATCAACTACTAGTTGCAATGACAATCGATAGATATTGAAACTCCTACTGCAAATTCACTTGTTGCAAGGCAATTAAAGATTCAATTAGAACCAATTAAGCCATTCCTACTCAAAATGTACAGGGTGATTCTAGCAACTTGGCCAGGCTACAGCTCTGTTCCAAGTGAAGTTGGAGAAAGAATTGTAGAGGAAAAGATTGCACTGTTTAACAACCTCTATCATCCTATGGTACGATTTCTTTTTCACAAAATTTTGGTCGACATAAATCGACTCTTCGTGTAATTTTACAAATTAAAGGGCTCAAGCTGAGGTCGTTGAACTCGACGATATTTTACGAGATATTTCACTTTTTTCGAAAATTTACAGCACTCGAACGTTTCACTATTAATTTTAATCACTTTCCCATACGTTTCTTCACATTTTCCATTACTCAAATTTAACCAATCACTCTTAATTCATTCCTTTCCTTTAATATCCTTTAATTCTTTCCTAAGCCTTTAGGCCATCTATCGAAACAGTTACCAAAATCACTCGGTATTCAAATTTCTCCGCACATTTGACGTGCAGAAAATCTCGTTCCATCGGAATCGATGCATCAGCTCTGCAACGATCAATCAATTCGAATTCGCTGGAGCTTACACGCTCGAGAGGTTGAACAGAAGTCGGCGGCTGGGCCTGTTCGTTCTCCAACCAGGAACGATAAAACCTGCGCGGAGCCATTGAAAAAGGCAAATCCGCGTGTTTGTCACCATTTGATGCAATCAATTGACATCTCTATATTCCACAGTTCAACGAACCCTGCTTCTGGTAAGGTCAACGCCGTTCAACAACAGCGCGAGCCTGGGACCGAGGCATAGCCGGGCGCAAGTAGAAATACTGTCATCTTCGTTAGGAAGATAGCAGCAGGATAACTGTATGTGCTGCCTTCTCTTGCCACGACGTCGTGCGCGTTGTAGAGCTGTTTCCAAGCGATAACTCGCGAGGAACTTCCTCGTAACACGACAGGAATCGTTCGGCGACAAAAGGGAGAGCCTCTTCGCGACCGTTCGATGAAAACCACGGCACGGATCGATAAGGTCGAGGTTCCGTTCGATTTTCGACGATCTCGCGTCAGAGCGCTGAATTCTATCGAGTTCGATGAGATTTTTGTCGTAACGATGGTTTTATTTCGTGTATTTCACGAACGAGGATATTGGATTTCGTGTAAGAGCTCTCGTATCGATGGGAAAAATTGTAGGTGTTTACGTTTGCATATTTGGGAAATGTGGAGGGTACGCTCTTGTCGTTACGTTTTTCTTCTCCTTCGACGGATTTCAAGTACGTGGCTTCTGTGATTTCTTTTAATTTCAGCGTATATCGGGATAACAATAAAAACTTAATAATTCAAAATTTATCCTCACTATTCTTACTTCTTTGAAACGTTATTTCTATCAAAAGTTACCTCCATCACTCTTAACTCTTACTTAGAAGTGACTATTTTGTGTCAAATGACTTGTAAATTTACTATAATTATTCTAATTATAAATACGCCCACGAAAAAAAAAAATTTAATACGTAAAAATTATTTGTGTATCTACGGGGGTAGGGGAGGGTCTATAATAAAATATATATAATAATAACATAATATCTCTCACACTGTCGCCTAGCTGCAGTTAAAGCGATAATGAAATCAACCGAGTTACTCCATAGGTACCTATCGATAAGTAACTGTTGTTCAAATTATATCGTGTTTGATCTCATTTTAATCAGAACAATCTCGTTAATATGTTAGAATAATTTTCATAGAGAAAAAGTTAAAAATAAAAACGCTCGGTTGCCTCGAGACCCTCGCTTCATCCATATCTTTTACTCGTTGTCCTTGTCCTTCGTTCGGCGAACTACAAAGCGACCCTCGAAAACCGTGTCTTCTCTACCCAAACTGACGCCTTTCATAAAATGGCTTCCACGTCGTAAACGAATCATTTTCAACGTCCATCATCAACGTATCGTCGTCGTCGTCGACGTGGAAATCGTTCCTGTCGCAATAACAACGTGGACCACGCAACGAAAGTTTCAAATTAACTTGCACAATTAACGCGTTACGTAAACGCGACGCAGCTCATTTCGTCATGGCGGGAATCGATTAATTCGACGCTAATTTGAATTCCAACTTAGCGAGCTTCCGTGCCCACCATCGCAACCGGCCAGCAGATGACTCTTGCCGGCCATTTTACTTCTTAGCCAACCCTGGCCCGCACCACACACTTATTCTTCGCGATCTATTTTTGATGGAAAACTGTATCTAAGCATCGGACACGGCCCAACCGAAATTCCGTTCGCCATCTTTAGCACAATTTCATTTAAAAGAAGAAAAGGAAAAATACGGGGGAAAAATTGAATTGGAGGGAAAGATGAGAATCTGAGAAGAAATGCTAAGATTCTTATTGGGAATTGCAATGTTAAACGTTGACAGTCTTTTGTGAATTAACAGTTGTACGTTAAAATTTTAAGTTAAGTTTGTTTGCAATTTTCCTGCGTTTGTAATACTTCCATATTCCTAAGTTTAGTTTGTAATATCGAAATATTGAATAATTGAAGTAATTGTAATATTAAAATATTCCTACCAAGTTTGATACGGTATTGTCATAAGTTTAGGTCACGCTTAACGTTTTATAGCAATTGGTCCATGTTCGGTGAACTATTTTCAAAATTCATTTACAAATAAACCTCGTTTTCCTTTTCTCATAATTAACAACATATCGACCACTGATAATTTTTTTAAATTAAACGAATTTTAAGTACAGACACATATGCTTCGCATATTAAAAAAAAAGAAAAAAAGGAACGATTAGAATTCGCTAAATGTAATTTTCAAAAATATTCCACGACACCGATCGTCTGCGTGTCCAAACACAGGCACACTTTTAATGCACCAGTAAAGGTCTCTTACTTTGTCATTTATTAGGTATTCGTGTATGTTTATTATTAAAAATAAGCATGCAAACGCAGGTGCAGATTGTACGTGTGCGATAAAAACGAGCACCGTTCAGATTTGCAACGGCGGAGTGGATATTGCGAGCACGGATACGTGACTTCTTTGGTAGTTATTTCTGAAATTTTATATTTATATATTCTTTCCATTTCGATTATCCATTCGGAATCTCTACTCGAAAGTGTATCGTTAATACTAACGCGTTACCCAGATTATCCAAAAATTGAAGAAGTTACTTTTAAAATTGAACATTCTACGGTGTTTCGAGAGATTTGATAATCATTGTCGAACCTTAAACGAACGTTCAAACGAAGAAAATTTTCCAAAAATCATTTCGTACGTTATTAATCGATAAAACAAAAATTCATTGTTGAAAAATAAATATTTCCTGAAAATCTTCATCTTCCATACAAGATTCAAGATTTTCCCTAATTAAGAGTAATTTCAAAAGATTATCTGTATAAGCTATTATTTCAATACGCGATGCACTGACTCTAGTATTTACTAAAATTCAAAAATTCTCGTATAAATTCCGAAAATAGATTATTAATTACGGTAAACTACTGAGACGGTTTAATTAAGGGTGGGCATGGTGCTGCTTTAGTTTGAAATGATTTATAAACACATAATTAACAGAGGAAAAACCGTGAAACGGCAAAACGTCAACATTCTAATTGTTATAACATGTAAACAGAACTTTAAATTTAGTGTAAAATTGAAAGAATCAAAAGAAAAATCGCGAATTCGTATCTTTTTCGATTCTAGAATATAAGAAAATTTGAATAAAATACGCGACGAGAATTGGGGAGAAGCATAAGTTAAACGCGTAAAAATATTCAATAATAAACGAACTAGGGATGAAGCTATTATTTCAATACGCGATGCACTGACTCTAGTATTTACTAAAATTCAAAAATTCTCGTAT